TGGCCGATGTCCGATACTCAGTTTTAAGGCCGATACCGATAGGGGGCCGATTATATCGTGCATCCCTAATTTCTATTATTCTGTCCTCTATTTATGAGCTCACTGTGTTCGTTCACATTAAATTGCTTAAATTTAATTCAAATTAGTGGTTGTAAAATGGCAATATGTAAAAATTTAAGGTGAAAGGAACATTTTGCAAAGAGCTGTCTTTGATAAATGACACAATAAACACACAAAGTGTGTCCGTCTCTGCTGCGAAACATTCAAGGTCATATTCAAACATTCCTCTATTTTAGGATCTTAATTAACAAAGTGAAACACTTACATACATTTCACTAACTTTACAAAGCTTTACTTGAGTTATTGATGATTCTTCTCTTCTAGGTAATAAATACATCTTATTTAAGATTAGAATGGTGATTTATTGAATCTGATGGCATTTTTATTTTGTTCAGACCTTCCAGAGACAAGTTCATGAAAGCCTGACCCAGCTGGAGGTAATCAACAAGCAATACCGCCGCCTGGCCAGAGAAAACCGTACAGACGCCTCCTGTCGTCTGAGGGAAATGGCTCACGACGCAAATCAGAGATGGGACAACCTGCAGAAACGTGTGGCCTCCATCCTTCGCAGACTTAAGGCACGATATCTTATTTTATCTCATAAATTTTATAAATATATTTATTTTACGTTGTCTATTTATCAGTCTTTCACACAAAGTCTCTTTTACCCAGTTCCAATTATTTTTAATTTGATCAAAGAAATCTTTTTGTTGAACCTCATTTGAATATTATGAAAGTTTTAAGGTGCTCTAACTTATTTTTCTTTTCTTTTTGAAAATGCAGCACTTTATAAATCAGAGAGAGGAGTTTGAAACGGCCAGAGATGGTATCCTAGTGTGGCTGACAGAGATGGACCTTCAGCTCACCAACATTGAACACTTCTCAGAGTGTGACATTCAGGCCAAGATCAAACAACTCAGGGTGAGTTTGACACAATATGAGACCAATTTAGCCTCGTGTTTGAGGACTAAGTATTTGATGTTGTATTGGATGCTTTTTCATGGGTTATCTAGTATGGTTTTATTATGCATTATTAAATAACTGCAGCAGAAACTGTGAAAAAAAAAACAGAATCTGTCTTTTTGTGTTATTCTCTATAAAGCTTTGATCTGCCAATACTTATAGCTAATTTTCTTTTTTTTTTGTTGTATATATATATTTATTCAGAATGTCCATACAGAATCTACATCCAGGATACAATATTATTATTCTTTCTTTTTCTTTTTTTTTTCCCTTAACCCCTCCCCCCCACCTAAAAAAAAAAATAATACACCAGCCCACCCATTCTCTCTATGTGGCAACACACTTAGTAACATTACATTTAGCACTATCCATATTCTTGAAAGGCCAGATTAAGAAGTAAAGGATACAACAAAAAATATTAGAGGAATTAAACAAGACAGTAAAGATCAATCCGGATCCGTCTCTCAGGTCAAGGCTAGTAAGAATGTCCAGGAAGGGAGTCCATATCTGGTCGTACTTAGCCAATGTCCCCCGTGTTGAATGGAGAATCTTTTCAGGAGTGGAGTACGACAACAGTTCGTTGATCCAGTGTTTTTGGTTTGGAGGCTCCATAG